AATACAATGTGCGCTATCTCCTGTTTTATCCTCTCAGTGGCCCCACAATGTAGGATCACAGAAGAGGAAACTAAGGGTCAGAGAGGTTAGACAATGCTCAGTGGAGCCAGGATGTGATCGCTGGTTGATTGGGTGTCAAATCCTGCGCTCTTAGCCCCTGCTCTGGGGGAGCCGACCGGGAGATGAGGGCAGAGAGGCTGCCTTGGGCAGGGGCAGGGAGCCCACTCTGCTGGAGGGAGTGCATCTTCTGGATTGCTGAACACAGTCCTGTCTGAGGGTCACTGGAGGGTCAGGGCATGGCAGAGTGTCTTGTCCAGAGCCCAGAGACAGCCCATGGGGAATTCTCCTGGCTGGCCAGAGCAGCCACCAGATGGGAGACCAAGCAGAATTTAATATCTGGCCATCTGCAGCCAGCAGCCCCCAAATGCAGCAGGCAGCCCCTCCCGGTGGATAAGGAGGTTCTTCCTGCAACCCTGTGTGCTGGATTCACTGTTGGTCTAGGAAGACTGGACTTTGGAGAATAGAGTGTCTCACACGCAATTGATACATGCTTGTGCTTGTGTGCACACAGGCACGTGCCTGCATACAACCTCCACCTTTCAGGTGCCAGGGGCTCTGATGGCACTGAGACCATTGGTGACCACAGCTGTCGGAGCATCCGTCTCTCTGTCACATGCCTGCTCTTGTCTCTGTGCCTCTCCTTAGGAAACTGGTGGGGATTGAGCTACAATGGAGGGTTTCTTTGCCCCCCATGCCAAGCAGAAGGGAAAACACCAAGATTGCTGAAAGACGAGGTGCGATGCATTCAGGAGGACATGTGGGGTGGCAAGGGGCGGGTCACCCTCACCTGTCCTCAGTCTACCCTGCGAATTCAGAATACCTGTTCTCCTCCCTGTCCTGTGAGGCCCCAGCAAGGGCTCCTCTCCCCTTTGATCCACTTCCACAGAAATACAACCAGCTTCACTTTTGGGGACCCAAGAGAATCTTTATGAGTTACAGAATCATCCTAGAACAATGAGAACTACCATTCACGGAGGATTTAAATCAGGCATCAGGTGCTGTGATGCACATATCCTCCAAGTCCTGTGGTAGCTCTGAGAGATGTTGACATAAACCCCATTTTTCTGAAGCTCAGAGACGTGAGGTCTTTCCCCCAAGGTCACAGAGCATATTATTTCAGGGTTTTCTAGGAAGTTGAGACTCACCACAGATCAGGCTGAATAGTACAGGGCAGGGCATATGGCAGGCACCCCAGATTCATCTATGACCTTGTAGGGGATTAGGGAACCCTATCCAGTGACAGACAAGAGCTGCTCATAACCAGTCCCGCACTAGGCTACCTCTCAGGTGTTGGGGACACGTGGCTTTTTGCTGTGGTTAAAATAGACACTTATTGTCAGGTAAAGAGGAAGTAAACATCGTTGACTCATTGGTCAAAGCTTTCTTTAAAAATAGGACCATGACCCACTTCACATGGACTCAACATCTAAGAATGGCTCAAATTCTTGAATTTGCATCCTCCAAGCCTACACTCAGTTCAGAAGTTGCATTCTTCCTTGATTATCTCCTGATTAACTAAACGTGACTGTAGGCCAAGTCTAAGCCCAGCATGAGGAACATGAGCAAGAAGGCGGGGGATGGAGGTCTCCGCCTGGCATGTCCATACACGGAGAAGAGTGACTATTTACAAAGCACCTACTACATGTTGAGTGCTTTGCAAACTCGACATTTCCTCATCCTCACAGTGGTCCTGTGAGTCTGGATAATCATCGCTTTCACTTTACAAGTCAGGAGACTGGGGCTTGGGAGGGTTTTGTGGCTTGATCAGTGTCCTACAATTGGATAGCCACAGGGGTAGGATGGAGACCCAGGCCTGGCTGGGGTATAAGTCCCCAACCCTTCTGGGTACAATCTCTACCCACATTTGGAAGACTGCCCTGGTCTGAGCTTGTTGGGGTCAGGATGGGGAGGGGCTCTTCTATTGCCTCCTAGGTTATGCTACTTAGCTTTGCTACCTTTGGGGGGTTCAAGGCTCCCAGTAGGATTAGCTCCATTCTGATTTTAACTCAAATGGAAAGTTCTGGCTGCAATTATTAAGGGGCCTTCAAGTCTCCAATGAGACCAAGACAGACAGGCCAAGGAGTTTGCTCTCCTAGCCCAGAACGCTCAGTCTGCCCCAGGCAAGGAAATCACATTACTGAATTACGGTTCATTTGCAAGGTTCCCCTGTTGAGGCAGGATGCTGGCTTCCTGACCCCATTAATCACAGATTCAACTTCCCAAGTTCAGCGTGGCCTACACAGTCCGTGGCAGTTGTCCCAAGGACCACAGCCTGACTTTGTGGAGTGAGATGCTAACGCTGAAATAAGGTTTGAATTCCGGCAGCTCCTCCCAATTTCTAGGCAATTACCTAACTTTCTCACCTACAGAATAGGGATAGTCATGGTATTTGACAGACTTTTCCTTTTCTTTTTGTCTCTTAGTATCCATTTTGGTTTTTGGCCAGCTTCCCTCTGCCCCATATTTTTAAGGACAGAATTCACCTTTTTCTCATTGGATAATCACGGGTTCTGCTCTTCCCATTCCAGAGGCAGGTACTATTCACTCCATGGGGTTATAGAGAGGATTAAACAACATGAGGCAATGGGAATATTTGAAAACCTTTCTTCCAACTTTTATTTTTTTGAGACGAGTCTCACTCTGTTGCCCTCACCCAGGCTGGAGTGCAGTGGCGTGATCTCAGCTGACTGTAACCTCCACCTTCTGGGTTCAAGTGATCTTCTTGCCTCAACCTCCCGAGTAGCTGGGACTGCAGGCTCCCGCCAATGTGCCCAGATAATTTTTGTATTTTGGGTAGAGACGGGGTTTCACCATATTGGCCAGGCTGGTCTCAAACTCTAGACCTCACGTGATCTGCCTGACTTGACCTCCCAAAGTGCTGGGATTATAGGTGTGAGCCACTGCGCCCAGCCCTTCCAGTGATTTTGAAAAGCATTTACCCAGGGCCTGGCACTTGGTATGGACATTAACTGTCCCTCAGGGGTAGGCAGCCTTCCAGACACCCCAGCTCATTCTTGCCTCCAGGTATTCACAGCCAGACCCCTTGTGACTCCTTTCCCTTCGGGTGTGGGTGGGACCTTGTGACTTGCTTCTAATGAAGAGATACAGCAAAAGCGAGGGGCTGGCACTTCTGAGATCGGGTGACAAAAAGGCAGTGGCTGCCATCCTTTCCTCTTGCCATTGCTCTCCTAAGAGCCCTGGAAAAGCAAGAGGCCAGGTTGTGAGGTACCCTAGGGAGAGGCCACATGGCACGGAGCTGATTTCTCAGGCCTGCAGCCAGCGAGCATGAACCTGGGGCTTGCCAAGAGCCATGTGGGCGAACTTGGAAATGAAGTGAGAGATCTGCTTCCTTTTTTCCACCTTTGAGAGAGTAGATGGTATTCTGTAAGCTCTGAAACCCTCTATGACTTTTCCGATTTTTCTGTTAACTATTGCTCTAATGCCTGTAATCCCAGCACTTTGGGAGGCTGAGGCGGGCGGATCACGAGGTCAAGAGATCGAGATCATCCCGGCCAATATGGTGAAACCCCGTCTCTACTAAAAATACAAAAATTAGCCGAGCGTGGTGGCACGCGCCTGTGGTCCCAGCTACTCGGGAGGCTGAGGCGGAAGAATTGCTTGAACTCAGGAGACGGAGGTTGCAGTGAGCCAAGATCGTGCCACTGCACTCTAGCCTGGCGACACAGCAAGACTGCGTCTCAAAAAAAACAAAAAAACAAACAAAAAAAACAAAACTATTGCTCTAGCAACTGCCAGCTGCAAACCCCACTGACCACGTGCTGTCTCTGTACTAGGCACTGAATTAAGGCCATTTGTCTATTTGTTTTTTGTTGTTGTTGTTTTTCTGAGACAGAGTCTCACTCTGCTGCCCAGGCTGGAGTGCAGTGGCACAATCTCGGCTCACTGCAAGCTCTGCCTCCCAGGCTCACGTGATTCTCCTGCTTCAGCCTCCCAAGTAGCTGGGGATTACAGGTGCCCACCACTGTGCCCAGCTAATTTTTGTGTTTTTAGTAGAGATGGGGTTTCATCTTGTTGGCTAGGCTGATCTTGAACTCCTAACCTCGGGTGATCCTCCTGCCTCGACCTTCCAAAGTACTGGGATTACAGGCGTGAGCCTCTGCACCCAGTCCATTTGTCTACTTTTGTTTTTTAAATCCCATTTTACAGAGGTGACACTGAAGCTTGAAGGTGTTAAGAGTCTTGCATATGGTCACACGGCCAGCCCATGGCCGAGCAGGGGGCCCAAAGCAAAGTCAGCCTGACCTCTTGGCATCTGCTTCTGGACTGGTAAAGGCTGAGGCTTCTGAGAAATGAGCCCCAAGAAGTCCTTTATGTTCTCCAGGGAGCACTCTCTGCCTGCGGCAGGGCTGTTGGAGGTGCCAGTGTTGTTTTGGACCAAAGCTCATGCAGAGCTAAGACTGTTCTGGAGAGACTCAGAGATTGGAGTTTTGCAGCATCTTCCTCTTCGTTGGAGGAGAGCATGGGGGCAGGTGTGCCTGGAGGCAGCAGGATGGCTGAGTTGGCCAGCCTGAGCTTTGGACACGCCAGGTTTCTTGGGGCCACATACTTTTGTTCCTGAGCTCGGAGGCCCTGGCCACAGGCTTCTGGCTATGGGTCTCTGGTGACTCTGGGAGAGAGTGGCCCCACCTGTGTGACTGAAGGGAACAGGGACCCCCCACCACCACCACCCTACCGTGATCATTCCCCTTCCCAGGGAACCTCCTCTGAGCCAAAGGTTTGTGGCTGCTGTGACCTCATCCTCTTGTGCCAGTTCCTGCTTCCCTGTAATTTATGGCCACGTCCGCATTAATAGATGCTGCAGAGGCCGTGAACTGGGTTAATTGTTTCCAAATATCAAATTGCAAGGTTTCTTGGCTGATTACAGGGGCATTAGAGTAGAAAGTGGCAAGGTTCCGCTGTTGTGATAATGAATGACGGACCCCGGGGATGCCATCTGCCCGGATGAGACTGAGAAGCCTCCGCGTGGCACAGGCTCGGATACCCTCCAACCCCTGGCCATGAGAGAGGCACATTTCCTGGAAGGAGCCGGGGGAGTTCTTCTCTAGGGTGATGTCTTCGATGTCCCTCATTATCTTGTGGTGATAATGGGACAGACGGAAAGGGGCCTTATGGTGCACTTCCAGGCCACAGAGGAAGCAGCTGCTCACTAGGTCATCAACATCATCGTCATTACCTTATAATAGCACCTACTATGTGCTAGGAGCTATGCCGGGCCTCTCCATAGAGCTCATTTATTTAATGCATCAATACTATGGGGAAGATACTCTTTCCACTGCAATTTTACAATGAGGAAACTGAGGCATGAAAAGGTGACATCATATAGCCAGTAGGTGGTGGAGCTGGGCTCAAACCATTTGTAGTCTGACTCTAATAGACACCCTCTTAACTACCACACCAAGAGTCTCCCCAGGGGTCTCTGTGCCAGCCAGACAAGGTTGTGTCTCCAGTTCTAGAAGCTTTGGGGTTGGCTTTTTAAACTCCCCATTGCTTTCTTTTCACTCTGTGCCCAGGCTGGGGTGCACTGGTGTGATCTCTGCTCACTGCAACTTCTGCCTCCCAGGGTCAAGCAATTCTCCTGCCTTAGCCTCCCAAGTAACTGGGTCTACAGGCACCTGCCACCAGTTCCAGCTAATTTTTGTACTTTTAATAGAGACAGGGTTTTACCATGTTGGCCAGGCTGGTCTCCAACTCTTGACCTCAGATGATCTGCTTGCTTGGCCTCCCAAAGTGCTGAGATTACAGGCATGAGCCACTGTGCCCGGCCCCTGTTGCTTTCTAATTGTTCCAATTTCCATTCATTTCCAGGTCAGCCCCTCTGCGCTTCCCTTATTCCAGTTACTCCAGGGTCTTCTCCCTTTCCTTCCTGACTTCTCACCTCCTCAGATTGGGTGGATTTAGGAGAGGGTGGGAAGGAGGGAAGCAAGGCTTACTGAGTTCCTATTACAAGTATGATCTAATTTAATCCTTAAAAAAACCCCACATGAGTTTTTTAATATAATGAGAAAACTGAAGCTGAGAGGTATTTGACTTGCCCAAGACTGCCCAGTCATACAAGTGGTAGAGCCAGGAATGGACTGACCTCAGACTATTTTCATCGTGACATGTGGCCTCAGGACTGTCACTCTGTTACCGCTTTCCATCTATTTCTAGCTGGGCATTTTTCACAGTGTTAACCATTTGATTAGGTGCGGCAAGTATCTGGCATGTGTGTACAACCTGCCCTTCTCATGTCCCTGGCAGATGTTACTAGTAGATCACAGTACACTCTCCTTCTGAGCCTGGATCTGCTCTCAACACTGTGGTTTAGGCCATCATTACCAAACCCTTTGAGTTGGCATTTGAGGTAAAAACCAGGCTGGGTGCAGTGGCTTACGTCAGTAATCCCAGTTCTTCGGGAGGATAGGGCAGGAGGATCTCCTGAGTCCAGGAGTTGGAGATAAGCCTGGGCAACAAAGCAAGGCCCCATGTCTACAACATTAAAAAATAAAAATCAGCTAGGCATGGTGGTGCATGCCTGAAATCCCATCTACTCAGGAGGCATATGCGGAAGGGTAGCTTGAGCTTAGAAGTTCAAGGCTGCAGTGAGCTATGATCGTGCCATTGTACTCTGGACTGGGTGTGAGAGAGGGGCCTTGTCTCTAAAAAAAACCCCAAACAACAACAACAAACAGACGTCACTCTTGTGATGGTCATCTTGAGGAAAAGGCAACAACTTCTGATTCCTTGCTCTCCAATCTCAGCCTCAAATGGCCTACCAGTAAGAAGGGGGAATCAGGAAACCCCTCAGTCTTGCTGAAAACAAGCCCAGTCCAAAGTTTAGCCTCCTCCCCAAACACAACTAGCTTTGGAAGTTGCCCTTTCTGGAGTAAATATTGCCTCAGTGCTATTAAATTGCCATTCTCAACTTTTATTCTTCGGAGACCTGCAAAGACAGAACGAAGCTAAGCATTCTCAAGGGTGTCCCTAGATTTCAAGGTCAGAACAACATTTTGCAGAGAAGTAAAGCAGTTCAGTAGCATGTAGCCACCAGGGCTGCCAACTCCCACCAGTGATAGCTGCATGGCGGCAGGCACGTCGTGGCTGAAATGGGACAGAAGGTGGGTGCAGACCCCCCTGTATCTACCTACGGTGAGTTATATCCTTTATTCCTGCTCAGAAAAGTCTGTCAGTGACTGAGAGTGACATTCCTTTCAAGGACCTCCTAGAATCTGCTCTGATTTCTCTAGAATCAAGTATTTGTGTATCAAGCAAGTATCAAGACTTATGTGCTCTGGCATCTTTTTTTTTTTTTTTTTTTTTTTTTTTTTTTTTTTGAGACAGAGTCCAGAGTCTCGCTCTGTCATCCAGGCTGGAATGCAGTGCTGCAATCTCAGCTCAATGCAATCTCCGCCTTCCGGGTTCAAGTAATTCTCTGCTTCAGCCTCCCAAGTAGCTGGGATTGCAGGCACCTGCCACTGTGCACAGCTAATTTTTTGTATTTTTAGTAGAAACAGGGTTTCACCATCTTGGCCAGGCTCATCTTGAACTCCTGATCTCGTGATCCAACTGCCTCGGCCTCCCAAAGTGCTGGGACTACAGGCATGAGCTACTGCGCCCGGCCTAGACTTGTGTGCTCTGGCATCTCTTGATTGATCCTGACACACTAGTGTCCCACCCCAGCAGTGAGAACCATTGCCCTAAGCCAGGAGGCCAGAAATGACCACTCTCCTCTCTAGTGCCCAGAGCCTCTTCCATCATGCCTGGCACTGAGTCCTACACACCATGGATACTTGCTCTAGGAGTGAAATCTTGTGTCCTGAGTCTCTGAGCCTGTTCCCTCCACAGTCCGCTGGAGACAGCTCCTGGGTTTTCCTGACTAGCTCTATCCCCCTTTTCTGATTCAGCACCCCATTTTCCTTGGGGGAACAATTCGGCTTTTACTCTCATGGCCATGGGATTGGTTGAGGAGAAACAAGTGCCTCCAGGCAGGGCAATCAGAGGGAACACACACTGAGTTCTACCCCACCCCTTCCAATACTCTTCAATTCCATTCCAATTATAATTGCTTCAGAGCACTTATTAGGGTCTGACTGTTGTCTGCCCACTAGAATGTAAGCTTTAAGATGGCAAGAACTCAGCCCATTTTGTTTACTCATGATGCCTCAGTCCTTACAATGGTGCCTGAAACATAGTAAGCGCTCAGTAAAGACTTGTCAAACAAATAAATGGTGACTTGACGTTGGCGAAAGAAAGTCTGAAGAAGAGCCTTTCTTTCCACTGGTGTTGATAAGAGGATAGAACAAAAATCTGCCCTGAGAAGAGCCTGCCTGAGAACGAAGACTACACAGAAGTAAGCAGACCTGAGAGGCAGACAGATAAAGATCCTGGTAACCAGAACCACTGCTCACATGGCTGCTTTCTCATTTATTCTACTACGAGTAAATCACGTGTTAGGAGCTGGGTAACATTTTGGCAAACAAACATCCATGATCCCTGCCTTCATATTCCAGAGGAGGAACTAGACAGCATAAAAGCAGGCAAATGAAGAAAAGCTATAACCATTAGCCATGATAAAGTCTGTAAAGAAATGCCACATGATGGCCAGGTGCAGTGGCTCAGGCCTGTAATCCCAACAATTTGGGGGACTGAGGTGGGAGGATCACTTGAGCTCAGGAGTTCGAGACCAGCCTGGCAAGATAGCAAGACCCCTGTCTCTACTTAAAAAAAAAAAAAAAATAGCTTGGGAGGCCGAGGCGGGTGGATTATGAGGTCAAGAGATCAAGATCATCCTGGCCAACATGGTGAAACACCGTCTCTACTAAAAATACAAAAATTAGCTGGGTGTAGTGGTGTGCGCCTGTAGTCCCAGCTACTTGGGAGGCTGAGTCAGGAGAATTGCTTGAACCCAGGAGGTGGAGGCTGCAGTGAGCCGAGGTTGTGCCACTGCACTCCAGCCTGGTGCCTGGTGGCAGAGTGAGACTCTGTCTCAAGAAAAAAAAAAAATAGCTGGGCATGGTGGTGTGCACCCAGAATCCCAGCTACTCAGGAGGCTAAGGTGGGAGGATCGCTTGAGCCCAGGAGGTCAAGGCTGCAGTGAGCCGTGATCACGCCACTGCACTCCAGCCTGGGTGACAGAGTGAGACCTTGTCTCAGGAAAAAACCAACAACAAAAACCCAGAAAGCTTGAAGATTGAGAAGAAGTACCCCTGCCTCTGCAATGAAGAGGAGGTGTTCCAAGCAGAAGAAACAGCATATGCAAAGGCCCTGAGGTTGGAACAAGCTTGGTATGTGTGAAGATGCCAAAATCCTGGCATGTACAGAGTGCGGGAACACCAGGCTTGACATTAGTGCTGGACATTAGTGCATATCTTAGCCTAGGACTTGGAGATCAGGATCAGGCATTTAGATTTTATCTGATATGCCCTGGAAAGCTAGAGAAAGATCTGGAACAACGAATGACAATCACCTTGTGTCTAGACAGATTCCTGTGCCTACTTAAGGCAAATGCATTGGGACACAGGGTGAAAGAGGAAGTAAGGGTTCCAGGCGAGAGAAGACAGTGGACTGGGTGAGTGTGGTGATGCTGGACATTGCAAGAAGTGGGCAGAGGTGAGGCCGGGCGTGGTGGCTCACCCCTGTAATCCCAGCACTTTGGGAGGCTGAGGCAGGTGGATCACCTGATGTCGGGAGTTCAAGACCAGCCTGACCAAAATGGAGAAACCCCATCTCTACTGAAAATACAAAATTAGCCAGGCATGGTGGTGCATGCCCGTAATCCCAGCTACTTGGGAGGCTGAGGCAGGAGAATTGCTTGAACCCGGGAGGCAGAGGTTGTGGTGAGCTGAGATTGTGCCACCGCACTCCAGCCTGGGCAAAAGGAGTGAAACTCCGTCTCAAAAAAAAAAATAAATAAAAGTGGGCAGAGGTGAGGACTGTGGTGCAGCTGAATTTTCAGAGGTCCTCTCATGTACACCCACTCTTTGGAATCATTCTCATAGATACTACAGATACCCTACGGGATGTCTACCCCCTCCTGGCCCCACACCACACCGAGTCGTTTCCAATCACAGCCTTCCAGGGTGATTTCCTT